AGATGTTCACCTGCACATCTGCCAATGTGGTATACTGCATCCGCTGTACCCGGTGTGGCTTCCTCTACATCGGGGAAACCAAGCGGAGGCTCGGGGACCGCTTTGCAGAACACCTACGCTCGGTTCGCAATAAACAACTGCACCTCCCAGTCGTGAACCATTTCAACTTCCCCTCCCATTCCGCAGACGACATGTCCATTCTGGGCCCCCTGCAGTGCCACAACGATGCTACCCGAAGGTTGCAGGAACAGCAACTCATATTCCGCTTGGGAACCCTGCAGCCCAATGGTATCAATGTGGACTTCACAAGCTTCAAAATCCCCCCTCCCCCTACCGCATCCCAAAACCAGCCCAGCTCATCCCCGCCTCCCTAACCTGTTCTTCCTACCACCTATCCCCTCCTCCCACCTCACGCCCCACCCCCATCTCCTACCGACTAACCTCATCCCGCCCCCTTGACCTGTCCGTCCTCCCTGGACTGACCAATCTCCTCCCTACCTCCCCACCTACACTCACCTTTGCTGGCTCCATCCCCGCTTCTTTGGCCTGTCTGTCTCCACTCCACCTATCTTCTCCTCTATCCATCATCTATCCGCCTCCCCCTCTCTCCCTATTTATTTCAGAACCCCCTTCCCCTCCCCTATTTGTCTAGGCCCGAAACGTCAGCCTTCCTGCTCCTCTGATGCTGCTTGGCCTGTTGTGTTCATCCAGCTCTACACCTTGTTATCTCAGATTCTCCAGCATCTGCTGTTCCTACTATCTCTGGGACTATAACCTGGTGTCGTGTGATTTCTGACATGTAGGCCAGACCAGGTAAGGACATCATATTTCCTTTTCTGAGGGACATTTTGAATCAGACGGATGCTTACAACAATCAATAACAGTTTAATAAGAAACAAAGTACTGCAGATGCCAGAAATCTGATACAAACACGGAGATCTCAGGAGAAACTCAGCAGGTCTGGCAGCATCTGTAGAGAGAGAAACAGTGTTAATGTTTCAAGTCTGGTATGATTTGTCTTCAGAACTGGTATTTAACAAGGAGAGCTACTGAATAGTAGTTCATCTCCATTAGTGCTCTATTGGTCCAGATCTTAAGAACAGAATTTAAATTTCACTAGCTGCTGCAGTGAGAATTGTACCTATGTTCCCATAGCATTACCCTATGGTTTTGAGTTACTATGTACCTATGATTCCAAAGCAATACCCTGTGGTTTTGAGTTACTAATCCAGTGACATTTGCACTCCACCACCTGTTCGAGTGCAAAGAGATAATTGGGCATAAAGTTTAAGTGGTACCGTTACACGTCAGCAGGGCAAGGCTTCCAGGATCTATCACAGCCAATATGGAGAATGAGCTTGTGCTGTTGGCATCACTCTGTATCACACTGTGGCCATCGAACCAACTGTGCCAACTCAACCCAGTCCACGTCCTTGTTATTATTCTCTGGAGGCTAAGAGTCAACTGGTGTGTGATTGGAGTTAGATCTAGGTCCACATAAAATTAGAATTTTACCAGGATGTTGCCTGAGCTAGAGAGTTGGAAGAGAGATAGATAGACTGGGGTTATTTTTCTTGGAGCAAAGGAGATTGAGAAGGGACATTATAGAGATGGATAATATTATGGGGGTAGTGTGGCACTCCCTCAGCACTGACCCTCCGACAGTGTGGCACTCCCTCAGCACTGACCCTCTGACAGTGTGGCTCTCCATCAGTAATGCACTCAGAGTGTCACTAAGTGTCCATTCCAGGGATACGCTGATAGAGAACTTAAACCCACAACCCTGTGACTCTGAAGTGAGTGCTAACCACCAACTCTCATCTGTGCTGCTAGGGACTGCGCAAATTCCAAAAAAATGAGGGATTGAATAAAAGACTCTAGCTCCCATGACAATGTCACTTTGGCAGTGGCAAAAAAGATCTGCCTTCATTTTTAGAATAACGGTCCCTGTTAAATTCACTTTAGAAAGCAAGCAATTAATTGAAGTAAAAGCAAAGTATTGCAGATGGTGGAGATCTAAATGAAAGCACTTTATTGTGTTTAGGTGACGCTTTGTTAAAGATTATGCAAGGGCACAGATGTATCATGTTAGACTCTCAAGCAGTTTAAAAATAAGAATTTGAAACAGGAGTATTGAATTAAAAATGATCAACATGCCAGGACTTGAGGCTATAATGTTCATCATTCCTACGAGCAGCACATAGTGCATATAACTCACAGAATAACGAGGAAGTGCTTTTCCTGAAACCAAGGCACATGAGTCGATATTTTCCAGCTTCCAGAAGACTGTGTGTTTTTACATTACAAATGAAATACCAAATGGTTTGATACAAAATTTAATTTGCACAGATGCTAGATTATAGTTATGTTTCATGAAAAAATTTTAGATATTCTTGGAGATTTTACACATTGTAACGAAATAATATCTTTAAAATGCAATGTACCAAGATAGTTACAAATCTGAGCTCTGCGTAGAGAAGGTTGAGATAAAATACAGTATGGATATAATACACATATTGTACAAACATACATCATTATCGAAGGCAACTTCAGCCATCATGTCTGTGCTTTGAAAGAGCTAACTGAATAATCCCCACTCCTCTGGTCTTTCTTCATAGCCTCGAAACGCCTTCCTTTTCAGAATGTGTCTGAACTCTGGGAGCATGATGCTTTGTTCGTTTCAGCACACAGGGTGAGTGGCAGGGTTGCAGAATATTTGCCCAGGCAGCTACCTGCAAAGGAGCACACTGAGGAGCTCAGGCATGAAGGTGCAGCGAGATGGTGGGAGTGAGCTTCTGATCCTACAGAGTAATGTTGTAGAAGTGCAGAGGAACTTTGAAATTCAGTAGAGGGTGTGAACGCACGCTGAAATAGTGCAGCCCCTAAATTTGACCTGAGCAAGCATCTGGCGAGTGAGGAAATTAGTGTCAAGGGATTTGGTGAGATAAGGTCAGGAGGAGGCCATTCAGCCTGTCACATCTATCATGCATGATGTAGGAAAATGACACAGTTTATGAAGTGACAGAGTCAATGGGAACTCAAAAGATCTTTTCAGCTTCCATTTGTATTGTGAGGACCGCCCAGATCGACAATCCTTAAGTGGTCAACCCAACATTGAAGGTTGACATCTGACACCTCCTACACTCTGGAGATGGATTATAACTCAGGGTGACCTTCTGACAGACTACTGAGGGTGCAATGTGCATAAACACAGGAGAAAGAGCCAAAATAGACAATTCCTCAGCCCAAGACCTGTCTATCCTGATGTATCCTCTGGCAATCCTCCTCAATATGATTATGTCTGACCTTCTGTCTCAACTCTACCTTTTCACCTCTTCCCCAGATCCTTTGATTCTGTGACAGACCAAAAGTCTCTTCATCCAAGCGTTAAATTTATTCACCAATGAAGCTGCCACAACCATCTTGAGTACAGAATGACAAAAATTCTCAAGCCTTTGAGTGATACAACAGTTACAGAACTGAAGAAGGCCATTCAGCCCACTGTGTTCTGAGGACCGTTATTACTGAGGACCGTTATTTCTGAGGACCGTTATTACTGAGGACCCGTTATTTCTGAGGACCGTTATTACGGAGGACCATTATTATGGAGGATCAACCTCCATCTGCCATTTCTCCACCCAAGTCTCCAGCCTATCTATCCTGATGTATCCTCTGGCAATCCTCCTCAATATTCGCAGATATCCCAATCTTTGTATCATCTGCAAACTTACTAATCAGACCACCTACATTCTCTTCCAAATCATTTATATATGTTACAAACAACAAGGGTCCCAGCACTGATCCCTGTGGAACACCACTGGTCACAGATCTCCAGTCAGAAAAACACCCTTCCACTGCTACTCTCTTTCTTCTATCACTAAGTCAGCTCTGGATCTATCTTAACAGCCCACCCTGGATCCCATATAACTTCAGCTTTTATATCAGCTTGCCAAGAGGGACCTTGTCAAAGGCCCTGCTAAAGGCATCACCACATAGACAAGATCAGTCACCCTGCCCTCATCATTCACCTTTTGTCACTTTCTCAAAAATCTCAATCAAATTTGTGAGACACAACCTTCCTCGCACAAAGCCATGCCATATTTATCCAAATGTGAGTAAATCCTTTCCCTTTGAATTTTCTCCAATAATTTCTCTACCACTGATGTAAGGCTCACCAACCTGTAATTTCTCAGATTATCCCTGTTGCCCATTTACACAAAGGAACAACATTGGCTATTCTCCAGTCCGTAGGGTCCCCTCCTGTGACTAAAGAGAATGTAAGGATTTTGTACAAGGCCACCAATAATTTCATCTTTTGCCTCCCTCCATATTGTGGATAGATCCCATCAGGTGCTGGGCACTTGTTTACGTTAATGTTTTACAAACCACCCAACACTTCCTTTCTTACATTGACATGCCCTACAATATCAACATCCCCCTCTCTAGACTCACCATCCACCATGTCCTTCTCTTTTGTGAATGCTGATGCATAGTATTCATTAAGGACCTCATCCACTTCCTCTGGCTCCTCACAGAAATTTCCTCCTTTGTCCTTGTGCGGACCTACTGTTTCTGTAGCTACACTCTTGCTCCTTATATGCATATAAAATACTTTGGGATTTTCCTTAATCCTGTTTACCAAAGACATTTCATAGCCCCTTTTTGCCCTCCTAAATCCTTGTTTGAGTTCTTTCCTGATATCTTTGATTTCTTCAACGATCTGTCTGTCTTCAATTTCCTAAACCTTAGGTATGTATACCTTCTGTTTCTTTTTAAATAAGCTCTCAGTTTCTCTTGTCATCCAAGGTTCCTGAATCTTGCCATCCTTATACTTCACTTTCACAGAACATACTGGTCCTGAACTGTAATTAATTGGCCTTCAAAAGATTCTCAAATGACATACATGGATTTACCCTGAAACAGTCACTTTTTTTTATTTATTTGTGGGATGCGAGCATTGCTGGCTGAGCCCAGCATTTATTTCCCGTCCCTAGTTGCCCCTTGAGAAGGTGGTGGTGAGCTGCCTTCTTGAACTACTGCAGTCCACCTGCTGCGGGTTGACCAACAAGGCCATTAGCGGGGGTAATGTAGACCTTCACCTGGGAACCAGTCTTATCCCTATCCAGCAGGGCTGTACAAAGATCATTATCTACCAGGCTGTGCCACCACCCTCTCTTTGCTGCCTCACACTCATTCTAACTGTGTGACTGCACCCACCTTTCCCTAAGGTTCAACGTCTCATTGTACTCAACACCTTTCCTCAATGGCTCTTACCCGCCTCATCCTCCCAAACTGCTAAGCCTTCCTGCCCTTCTGTGATTCCTACTCACTCACTTGGGGGACTCATAATCATTTTTGCCCCTGCCTGTGCCACCACTAAAAACTCTGCCAGCCACTTTAATCCAACAGACACATCAAAAATAGGAGCAGGAGTTGGCCATTCAGCCCCCTTTGAGCCTGGTCCACCATTCTATACAATCATGGCTGATCCTGCCAACTCAGTCCCCTGTTCCCGCTTTCTTCCCAAACCCTTGGACCTCTTTTGCCCTAAGAACTATATCTAACTCCTTTTTGAAACCATCCAATATTTTGAACTGAACTTCATTCTGTAGCAGTGAATTCCACAGGCTTCCCTCTCTCTGGGTGAAGACATTTCTCCTCATCTCAATCCTAAATGGCCCACCCCATATCTTTAGACTGTGATCCCTCCTTTACGCTGTCTGGTCCTGTCAGAAGTTAATTGGTTTCTATGAGATCCTCCTTCATTCTTCTAAACTCCAATGAATATAGTCCTAACTGATCCAATCTCTCTTCATACATCAGAGAAATCAGACATAGAACATAGAACATGGAACATAGAACAGTACAGCACAGTACAGGCCCTTCGGCCCACAATGTTGTGCCGAACTTTTACCCTAAACCTATCTAACCTCCACCCCTACCTTATACTATCATCCATATGTCTATCTAATAGCCGCTTAAATAGCCACAGAGACAGGCATTCCATCACCAAGTCACTCCTTAATTCCACATGGAGAGTCCTTGACACTTAAATGCTCCTAATGAGGCCGACTCCACTACCCTCTCCGGCAATGCATTCCATGCCCCTACCACTCTCTGAGTAAAGAACGTACCTCTACCTGGTCAATATCACTTTGCTCTTTATGGGATTTTGCTATCAACATGTTAACTGTCACCCTTCCTAAATTACAACAGTGACTAGCCTTTGAAAGTACATGATAAAAAGTTTCAGGACATCATGAGTTAGCGAAAGACTTTGTGGAAAAACAGGCTCTTGATGCAGCACCGAGTTGCAGCTGGTTTCTCCTCCTGGGCAGATCACACACTCTAAATGCCAAAGTTTGACTTTCAATTTCAGGAAATGCTAACAGTTCTTATATTTTGTAAACTGCTGATCCCCCTCAGCATCTTAGTGATTGCCAACAACTCAACTGTCAGTGCAAGACAGGACTGTATCAATTTGTGAAATTGTTTTCTCTCTGCCTTGGCAGCTTTGTCTGTTCAGTTCTCCTTCCAGCATTAAATACTTTATTAGTTTGCATTTTTCTTTTAGCTGGGGGATTGTTGTGAGTTGTAAAAATTGTAACCTAAAAGAATGTGCAACAAATACCAATTTGAAGAAATCTCTGGTGTTATTGATAATTAATCTAAACTGCAGGAGTTCCATTTTCACCCAAATGGTTTTACTTGTTAACATTCAGTAACTTGCTTCAACATGTTTGGCCATTTAGTATTTCCATTAAATTAATCTGATCCAGTCTGATCTCTAAAGAGAACACAGATCTGTCAAACATATGCTTTATGACCAGGAGGAGGCCATTCAGCCCCTTGAACCTGTTTTGCCTCAATAAGGCCAATGATAATCTGATAATCTCAATTCTACTTTCCTGTCCACTCTCAAACTCTTTGACTCACTTATCAATCAAGAATTTGTCTAACTCGGCTTTAAAATTATTCAATAACCACCTGGTCTCTGGGAAGAGAATCCTACAGCCCACAACCTTTGGAGAAAAATAATGCCCCTTATCTCTATCTGAAAGCCCCTTATTTTTTACTCTGGTTCTGGTCTCTCCCATACACTGCTACCCCTACGCTGTTAAGCCCCCTCAGGATCTTATAGGTTTCAATAAGATCACCTCTCCTTCTTCTAAACTCTAATGGCCATAGGCCCAATCTGCTCAATCTTTCCTCAGGAAACTATCCCCACATTTGCAGAATCAGTCAAGTGAACCTTCTAATGTGATTATGTCCTTTCTTTAAAAAGGGGGTCAGTGCACAACACTCTGGATGTAGCTCCACCAATGCTGTGTGCAACTGCAGGAAAACATCCTTATTTTCACATTCCATTCTCCTTGCAATAAGTGACAATGTTCAGTTTGTCTTTTTAAACACTTGCTGTCCCTGTGTATTAACACTTATGTTTTCATTTGCCAGCTCACCCTGATCCCTACATAATGCAGAGTTCTGCAATAACTCTCAATTTAAATAATATATTGCCTTTCTATTCTTCCTGCCTCAGTCGACAATTGAATGTTTTCCGACGTTATATTCATTGTGCCAAATTTTTGGCCATTCACTTAACCTATCTATATCCTGTTGCAGACTCCTTATGACCTCTTCACAACTTAGTCTCTGACCTATCTTTGTGTCACCAGCGAATTTTATCCAAGTTATTGATGTGGATTGGAAACTGTTGATCCCCATGGCACTG